GTCTGCCTGTCTGTCTGTCTGTCTGCCTGTCTGTCTGTCTGTCTGCCTGTCTCAGCTAGCCCATTCTTATTAGCTTAGGATCTGTCGAGGCTTTATTTAATTGTTTTTTTTCTTTTCTTAGAGTGTTGTTTAGCCTGTGGAGTCAGAGGCTTTGGTATATTATCACAGAAATGTCCCTGTTCGTCCACAGCTGGAATTTCCTCTTCTTTCCAGCACTACATATTACCAACTTTAGGAGGTGGGGCTCAAATCATTGTCGGGGCCCAACTTATAGCATAGACTGTGGCTGTAACAACCAGACAAAAAAATAGAACAAGTGGGGCCTCCAGCAGCTTGGGTCCTGGTTAGCCCTGGTTAGCCCTGGTTAGCTCCTGCAGAAGTCTGGCCTCGGGTCATACTGTTGTGTTGCAGACTGTTACAGGTACAGTATGTTTGCTAGGCGTATGCAATACATGTTGCATGTGGGTGTGAAAAATCACCAGCAGGCTTTTATTGAATGTTCTAAACTTAGACACATTAGTTTAATATTGTTTCAGCAATTGTTTCAAGGAATGCAGTTGTTTGGTCAATGCCAGGTATACGTAATCTTACCTGTGTCTGTGCACAGCATAATGGTTGGGCTCCTGTATTCAAACAATCTCCACTGACTGTTTACGCAGGCAGTGAGAAATGAGTGACATAATGTCATTGCAAGGTTAGGAGTCCAATGGAGAGCAAAGGTCACATGTTCCATTCCAGCTAATAAGACCCCCATGCATATACTTCACAGCTGCATCAAATTGCATAGTGTACAGACTTAAATTTTTAAGATGGCATTTTGAAATAAAAATGGAGCAGTAATATTTTACAGTGTATACTCTCGTTCTTTTTGCCTCTTTTAGCTGTCAATCTTAAGGGTTAGGTTGTGAATGGCCATAGTAATTTCTATTTCTGTTACAGATATCTCTCCTCATGTGGGATCCTGATGACTCGATATCCCCCCCTGTTGGCGGTTCTGCCCAGGCAGCCCAGCATCCCGCCTGTTCGGAGTTTCTTCAATCTGGCGGAGTCATTCAACAGGAGGAAGGAGTACTCCGAGAGGCGCATTATCGGGTCAGAGGCTCAGCAGTCTGGGGCAGACCGCCAGCTTTATATCTGCACCTAATTATAGAACGTTCAGGGTTTCCGAGTCTGGGGACAGAGGTGTCACGTAATGCAGGTGCGAAAGATCGTCACCCGTCCTGATCTGACGAGGCCGGCAAATTCCCAAACAGCCCAAAGTCAAAACAGCAATGAATTCTGTTTGTTCAAGTCATTTGAACTTAAAGCTTCAATAAGAATTTGGACCTATGAAAACATGCTTTATTCAGAATTTAATCCAATCTTGTGTATAGCATCATGTTTAGGCAGCGTTTTGCACATCTTTACCATGACTTAAAAATCTTAAACAGATTATTTTCCCAATTTCTTTACTGTCGCATGTACATCAAAATCCTCTATGACAGAGACTGTGTTCTGCTTCACCACTCAATGGCCATAGGCAATAGTGTCATTCCTTTTGCTTGTACCTTAGGTACTTGCATTTTGCATTGGCTAGGTACAAGGTACAATCACTGCTCCAGATCCAGTCATAGATGTGCAATCTGTACAGTTTATATTGAGACCTTGCTGGAGGGGAGAGACATTTTTTCAAAAGTAGAACAAAAGTTTGTAGAGGATTAGTTGAGTTCATAGACCCTGGAATGATTGATTGCTATTGAGCCAACTTTCTGATCCTTATCAGATTTTCACCTAAGGTTAATTGTGAACATGGAACTGGCTTGTCGAAGTAGGTGAAAGCTGGAAGAGAGTGTGAAGTGTAGCTGTGTATGTTGGTTTTATTCTGCGGCATTAACTACGTTGTTAAACAACAAGGTCCCTTTGCCTAAGTGAAGCGTGTGCATGTGAATACAACATTCCTGTGTTGCTCTCTCACAGCTACTCCATGCAGGAGATGTATGATGTTGTGGCAGGGGTTGAAGACTACCTCCACTTTGTGCCATGGTGCAAGCGCTCAGACGTGATCTTCCGCCGCTCAGGCTTCTGCAAAGCCAAGCTAGAGGTGGGCTTCCATCCAGTGCTGGAGAGATATACGTCACTGGTCACCACAGTTCGCCCCCATCTGGTTAAGGTGAGGAACTACATTTATTCTACTGAGAAAAGCATAATAAAGCCTTTTGTGCCACTGGCTTTGAGGTATATAGTGTGTAATTGTTAACAAGTTAAGAGTCTTTGGTATATTATCACAGAAATGTCCCTGTTCGTCCACAGCTGGAACACACAGTGCACACGCTTCACTTAGGCAAAGGGACCTTGTTGTTTTGGGTCAAACGCGAGTGTGTAGTGTGTACTCTGTGTATTAAGGATGGAATATGCTGATCTTAGGGTGGTAGTAAGAAAGTGTAAACTGATCTACAAGCCAAGAAATGAAACGCAACAAGACTTTTTATTACTTGAGAAAATAAAACTATACTGTTGTACCAAGTGCAAAATATACATATTAAATTATGCTACACGGTGACCCTTTAATCCCTTTTAACCGAAGCAGGTCTTCACCACATTGCCTGCTTCAGCGTGCTCGTGACCTGCCTGTGCCCTGTTCCAGGCTTCCTGCTCTGACGGAAAACTCTTCAACCACCTGGAAACTGTGTGGCGCTTCAGTCCCGGACTGCCCGGCTATCCCCGTACCTGCACTCTGGACTTCGCTGTAAGTGTCCTTGTCTAAAATCCACCTTCATTTTGATTTCTCTTATGATCTACATGGACACACCACTATCAATGCTCACTGGGCAGGTTTGGCATGAAATTTTATATTGAATAATGGAATCTTTTATTGTTTATTCTTAGTTTCTTATAATAATATTGCACTTGTGTTATATTACACTTGTGTTTTTTCTGTACTGTACTATCATATCCCCCGTGTTCCTCTCACATCTTCTGTAACTGTGGTATAAGAATTTCACCGTGTTCCTCCAAGCACATTTGACATTAAATCTTGAAGTTTCCCAGTTTCCCAATCCAGTCCTCGTGGACCCCAGCCAGTTCACATTTTTGCTCCCTAGCTGGGAGGGATTTCAGTGTTATTTTCATCAGTTTTTTTTTTAATAACACTTGCATATCTGGCTCTCTTCTGGTCTGCAGATCTCCTTCGAGTTCCGCTCGCTCCTGCACTCCCAGCTGGCCACGGTCTTCTTCGATGAGGTGGTGAAGCAGATGGTGTCAGCCTTCGAGAGGCGGGCCCACAAGTTGTATGGGGCTGAAACACGGATACCACGCGAACTCATGTCCCACGAGATACACCAGACATAAGGCTTCGCTTGTGATGCTCGGCCTGCTCAGAGATAGCAGAGTGCTGAGGTTTCTGCCTGCCTCTGTGCCTTAGTGTCACTAAAACAGATTTTTTATTCTCTTTAGCAGCCCATGGCTGATTATTGCTCTTTTTTCGATTTTATTCCCAATTTTAATTGCCTCTGGCTTAGTTTCTTTGTCATGAGGCAAAGGAGAGCGGAGGTTCCTTCCTCTGACTCGCATCGCTGTCCTGTCTGCCCTCTGGGAATCGACACTGGGGACCCTTGTTAATGGTAACCAGTAAGGTTATGTGTCGAGCTATGCTGATAAACCAATCCCAGCTGACCCTCACCCCCCCAAGATACTAAAACTAAATTGCTCCTCCACTAAAAACTTTCTGGACAGAACTACAGAATATGACAGTGTACACTGGAATAGTGGTTGGGGGAGATTACCTTAACCAATGAACCCACTCAGAACCTTGTGTCCAGCCCATTGTTCTGCAGCTGGGGAGATATTTGCCAAGGATTAAACAAGTTAAATTATTTTTCATCAGATGGGTGGGACTATGGGAAATTTTGGCTCTCGGGGTGCAGGATGTCCATCCATCCATCTACCCACCCATCCATCCATCCATCTATCCATCTATCCATCCATCTTCTAACTCCTTATTCAGGTCAGGGTTGTGGGGGGGGGGGGGGGGGGGGTGGAGTTTTTCCCAGGCAGCACAGAGCACAAGTATTTATAAAGCTGAGTTTCCCCTTATGGGGGGAAAAAATAAAACCACACACACACACACACAAACACACATACAATATCATACACCACAAGCAATTTAAAGATGCCGTTTACTTTGCATGTCTTTGACTGAGAGGAAACTGTAGTACATATAGGAAGCCTGCACAACACTGGGGAAACCAGTAAACTTCACACACACAGCAGAGGAACGATTCGAACCCCAGCCCTGGAGGTGTGAAGCCACAGCGCCACCCACTGGCCCACTGTAGCATGCCAGGTGCAGAACATGATCTTCTGAGTATGATATGAGCATTTGGCTCTGGTATAAATGTATAGCTAAGCACTAATGATATAGTGTGGAGTATGTGCTGGTAGCCGGGTGTTAAGAACAGGACAGCAGTGTTCAGCAAAAATAAATCAAGTGAAGGTGGCAGGAGAAATCGTCTGGCGGGTACAGTGGAAATCCCAGGGTTACTGAGATGAGTGAAAATGCACAATTTATTTAATCTTTGCCGAGTGAACCATGCTTTTCGCTAGGATGCCAAATCCTGAGGCTGTCAGCTTAAATCAGTGTTAATGACGTGTGCAGTATGGTTTTTAGTTCGGTATTAAGCAGATATGTAACTATGCCTAATGCTGAAAAGGTCCCGGGGGGGAGGCTTTGGTCAAGTGCCGGCCATGGTTGACCTTAACAGGCTTTGTAGATACCTACCTGACAATTCCCTTCAGAGACGCTCCAGTATACCCAGTGCACTGTGCCCCCATATTTATCCAGACCATTATTATTACTTAGTGTATGTACGCTCCATACGCTCATGCTATTTATTTAGCTTATTGGCTTCATGTGCACGCGAACTACAAGCAAGAGGCAAATGCGCACAATTTTATATTTATAATGTTGATGGATTTTTAGCAAACGCGTATTTTTATGAGTGAATACGTGGTATTTGTATATATGCAGCAGGGGAGGATCCCAGCAAGAGGCGGACAGGCCGCTGGTCAGGGGGGGCGTCACTGGAGCCCCACGGCTGAGAAGGGGGATCCGATTTCACCCAGGGTGCCAAGTACACCTGAACCGCCACTGATGGGATCCTCAACGATACTCACCACATGCAGCAGACAACTGTTCTCCCACAGATGCTGTAGACCAAAAATTGTGGTCTCATGAGTAACAAAGTAATTGTGACGGTTGATGTAGGATGTAGGATGTCGTTACAAGACCTGACTGTAGGTGGCACATTTCTCAAAACAATGGAAATCCACATTTTGTCAGCTTAACTGTATAACGTGTGTTGTGATAAAGATCCAAATCATTTCATATTCTGACTCATCTGATTGTAAGTTGGGATATTGGGTAATACAAAATGTCAATAGTTGTGTAGATTGCTGTTTATTCTCACTCTCAAAGCTTTGTGTGATTTTCACACAAAATATGTTTTTAGTGATCTGGTGAACCCCATGAGAGCATTATTTTCGCCAAAGAAATAAGCAGTGTTTCTATACTGGCTTTTGAGATTTTTTTGTCAGTTTCTGGGTAGAATTATCGGGATGTTTGGAACATTTTGATATCAATAGTACTTCTACGAAGCACATATAAAATGAAAAGGTAAAGAAGCTTTATTTAAAAAGGAATTATCTTCCACAAAAGGAATAAAACATTATTATGGTACAGTACTGCTTGAAGTCAGTAATACTGATGTTATTTCAATCACAAAAAAATATATATACATCAAAGGCTATCAAAACACCTGAATTATTTTGAAGGGCAACACATAAAATGTACAGAAATATTTTGAAGCTGAACATCACCTTCCAGTGATAGTTGGTGTAAACTATGGGAAAAAAATTATTTTACTTGCAAAGTGTGAACTTTCTCTTCCCTGCCAAGAAAAACAAAAACAATAATTGCACATCGTGCTCAACAACGTATCCTATATAGTGTCAGTGTTTATAATACATAAACATTTGTGATTCACAGACTACTAAATTAGAAGCTGTTTCTTAGCAGCTTGTAGGTTACTGTGCGATAGTTCTGCCGCTGGTACCTCTGGCTCTGCTGTTACAGCAGCCCTCGGAAGGTCTGGCAGCACGTTTTCTAGCAGATGTTTCAGCATTTGCAGTAAATGCTCTGGCTGCTCAATCTCCATATGCGTAGAGGAGCTGTGGACTGTGTGTCTTATGCTTAAAAGACGACATCACTCCTCGAAGGAAGGCGGGGCAACTGGCAACAGAATGCACAAAGTTGTGGGCAGAGGCGGACATTTCAGGTCCAGAAAGTAAAAATCCAAACCAGGATTTTGTTTCAACCAACCAGTTGCATACTCTGTGACTCAGTCACAGAGTATGCAACTGGTTGGTTGAAACAAAATCCTGGTTTGGATTTTTACTTTCTGGACCTGAAATGTCCACCTCTGGTTGTGGGTAACTAGTCCATTCAAAATCAGTGTGATTAGGGTTATGAAAACAATGAGAAGAGATTGAAACGTAGCAGAGGTTGAAGTGCACACATTTCAGGGTGACCCGTTCCATAGCACCCCCATGTGCCACATGATCTTTCTGTGCTGGATGTTCTTCAGTGATCTGTGCTTCAGGCAGGGCCACAGTGGGGGTGCTGTGGGTGTAGTGTGCGTACAGTACGGCGGGGCACACCACTGACACCAGTAAGCCTTGCACATCTGTCAGCATATTGTGTGAGTCCATACCACATGATCACAGTTATTCCACTGCTATGTGAACATTACAAGAATGTCACATTTAGCAACAGGAACGTATCGGCACCAATCTCCTGCAGCGTTATCTTAAACATCAAGGAGGAAAGTCTCTAAAGACAGTAATATGGCTTTACGAAAGGTCAAAGTGTCCACTTGTGTCTAACTTGCCTAATCTGCGGCCAGAAATGAATGTTAGGACAGGAGGGTCACATGCAGGTGACCTCCGCCACCCCTTCGTCCGGTTCGAAACCCCCATCATCCAGCTGGGATAGGACGCTTGGGTAACCTCCGCCAAAGACTGGGAACACTCCAGTGCCGGCCGTGCAAAAGGACTGGTCGTTTGGGTCCACAGAGAGGCTGGGGGCCTCGGTCTGGGGAGATCCAGCCTGAGTAAAGAGAGAAACTGTCTGTCCTGCTCAGATGATATCAACTCAGTCTTAAGTCATTGTCACTCAATGGAAAATTGCACATCAGTATGATGACACCAACAATTGCAATGTCTTAGTCAAACCTCTTTGCGGTTATAAAAATCTCTAGTTCACATCCAGGTTTAAAGGAACAATTAAATTCTATTTTCATAGATACACATTTGATACAATATTAAAGTACCATAGGCAAAGACAAACACTGAAAGAAATGTTTTTAAATTTGTGGGTTCATTCAGTTGATTATCTTCCAAGTCTACCATTCACAACCAAACCTTATAGGAAGCGTCATTAGATTTCTGCATTCCCATGCCATGTGGGCCGGATGATGGACAGGGATACAGAAACCTGCTACGCAAGTTACACATTTGCCATATAAAGCATTGTGTGTGACAATATCTTATAACACTGCCAATGAGTAGTTATTTTATGTGCATTTGTACTTTCAAATCAAGAAATTACTGTGCATTTAAACTTTTATACCACATATGAAGTATGCTACAGCCCTATAAATGTTAAAATGCATGTAAATTTCTTGTCATAACAGTGCAAATGCACTTATTTTATGTGCATTTGCACCATTATGAAAAAATATTGCTGCTTTATATGACGAATGTGTACTTGCATACCTGTTATGTGTAGTCCTGATTACGGAAGGTAAGGTAACGCAATGCCAGAGACAATATGAGGACCTTGCAATCTCTGAGGTCAAAAAATGGTGAGCTGCATATTTGTCTGACGGTTATAGATTTAACAGTAGAGCCACCAGTGAGGCAGGGGTCTCGAGCCTCACCTGGGTGCGGTGCTGTGTGGATCTGGCTCTGACCGGCCTCTGGAGAAACACGACCTGCTTGGTGGCCAGATTCCCATCACTGAAAGGAAAAAAAAAAAAAACACAGTCAAGGAGAGAGCTTCACAGTCTGGGGTGTGTGGGGGGGGGGGGCAGGTGGCGAAGGGCGCGACCTGTCATGGCGAATGATCGGAGTGGGCAGCACGCAGGTGAGCTGCCAGCCGAATTCAGCCAGCGTGTGCAGAAGAGGCCCGTAGTCAGTCTTCACGTTGGCACCCTGAGGAAGACGAGCACAACATAAGCAAGCAGAGTGCCAATGCATCACATCACGTTAAACATGACTGTCACTGCAAAAGCACAAGTACACAGACAACAAAATTCATTTTGGCATCCAGGCGGAATACTGCTAAATAAGCGCTAGAAAGAGCTAGAAACATGGAGCGGCAAACAATTAGTGAATGTACATCTATACAGCGGTATATGTAGTGCAGATTAAATAATATGCATATACAGCTCTGGAAAAAATTAAAAGACCACAGAACATTTTCTTGTTTCATTCATTTCTCAATTTATGGGTGTGCGTCTGTGAATAATATATATTTTTCTGCAAAATGCAGCCTGGTTCTTCCCTGCTTCTCATTAATGAAGGGCTTCTTCCTTGCTTTATGGGTCTTCAGTCCTGCTTCTAGGAGCGTGAAACACACTGTCCTAGCAGTGCACTTCACACCTGCATTTAATGTTTCCCATTCCTTTGGAAGGTCACTTGATTTCATCCTCCGATTCATGAGAAACTGTCGGATAAGTTGACAGTCATCTCTGGCATTAGAAAGTGGCTTCCACCCTCTACCTGGCTGGTTTCTGGTCGTTTCCAGTGTCTCCTGCTTCACCTTATTCTTGTGTACTGCTTTCTTAGAAATTCTGAGCCTGGAAACAGCCTGCCGTGTAGCCTTCTGCCAGCAATAACCAGGATCAAACAAGGATTTAAAAATGCAGATTTTCTAATTTTCTAAAAAATAAAAAAAATGAAATATATGGAGTGGTCTTGAATTTTTCCAGAGCTGTCTTTAATATCCAGAAGGGCTTCTTGGCTGCGTGTCGTTTTTGCATGACCGGACTGAATAAAAAGTCTTGAAAGTGCTATGTAAATAATCACTAATTCGCAAAATCTAGATAGACACTGGACCTCTTGAAGGTCGCAGGACACAAGACACAAACGTGTACAATGCACATCTTGTACCTATTTCTGTGTATCACTTACCTCAATGACAGTCCACTGCTCCACAACAATGGTGTCGTTGGCTGGGGGACTGGAACTCCGCTCCTCATACACAAACAGGCCCTCCAGAGACCTGGGGACAGGCTCTCCTATAGCAGAAGAAGATTATCAGGCAGGAGTAATGCCCTCAGTTATATATTCACAGGTTAAATGTGGATCTGTGTCAAAATATTTGCAGATCTGAATGCAACAGATAACTGCCGTTTCAACCCTGATATAAAGGACTGGCCTACCTTAAATACCCAGCCTTACACATGGTAGGAAAGCTTCGTGGAAAAAGTGTTAATCACAATAAAGAGAAATCTGTGAAACGCACTTCCATGAAATCCTGCCTTTTGACTGCAGAAATATATACCCCAGAGAAAACCTACACTACTACTTTGTAGGTTTAGAGTAAATGGAAAAGAACTGTATATCCAAAACAATATTTAAAAGTGTCATACTCTCCCACCACCGATTTTACCAAAGATTATCTAGATGTATGGACAAAGTATCCAAAATGTAACCAAAACACCTGGAAGATAAAGAATCTGTGATTGTCAATACATGTTCTTGGTTACCGATCAGAGCAGTACCTTTGGGAATATCCCAGTAAACAAAAGAGTCCACCAATGACCAGCCCTTGCGGTAGTACGCAGCAGTCAGCTCCAGCCAATCAGCCTCTAAGGCACTGATGACTTGGCCCTTCCGTGACACTCGCATGGACAGCGCACCCTGGTGGTAGCTGCAGGCCAGGGCATCCAGGGGGGCACAGCCTGGCGCCCAGGAGTGGAAAAACACCAGCAGCTGGAGGTCTGTGTGAAGAAGCCTTTCATGTCAGCCTTGGATTGGAAAGACACACCATTCTGGTTCTGGCTGAGCAAAAGAGGCACCTAGTTTGTGTGAGATTTACATAGACCCTCATTCTTTTGCCTCACTTGGGGGTCTCACCAGGGCTATACACCGACTCCTCCTGGTCCCTGACTTGAGGTGGAGTGCAGGGGGGGGTCCTCGGGGGGGACCGGCAGCTCCGCCTTGGGCTGGGCATCCTCCCATTGCTCCTGAGGATGTCGGACCTGACGTGTTGGAGCACGGAGCCCACGAACCTCACGCCGCTCTGGGCACTGCTGTTCACCTGGAAAGGGGTGTGACCTTGTCAGTCGTCCATACAGTATTTTACACTTACTGATGGTCCAGAGCAGCGCTGGGCCAAAGCCCGGTTCACAGGATGAATATGGGACATGAAGCCTGAAAACAAACAACTACGTACATTCATAGCAAGTCTTCTGTTGCAACTTTCACGGAAAGTGAAAATAATCATTAGAAAATGGTTCTTGCTGACATGGTTCAATAATGAGTGATGAATTAAATTACTTGCTAAATGGACAGTTAATTGATTGCTTAATAATTCGATTATTTAAAGTAATTGCCCAAGTCTGGTCTAGATAGAAGAGACCCCTTCACTGGTGAAATCGAGACCCCTTATTATGTGTTAAAATTCTCCAAGTGATGATAAAAATGAGAAAAATATATACTTCATGGGGAGCAAACACGCCAGTGGACGGGACAGACACACACATACAGAGCTACCTACCCTGTCAATGAGCGCTCGCACCGTGTCCTCAGTCAGGGAATCTCCAGGGAGGGGCCACATCTCCGCTCTCAGCACAGGGACACTCCGATCCAGGGTCACCGCCTGCTTGCTGAGGCAGACAGATCCTGGTCTATTACCTCCTGATCTACATCTCACACCGCGAACCAGGCGGTCCCTCATGGCTAAATTCGGTAATGGACTGAAAACGAAAAACTTCACCAGTAAAGAGGTTAACGATGGCCGACTGGTACCTGGAGCGCAGGCGGGCCAGAACGGCCCGATACAGCAGGCTGCAGGGCAGGGTGCGGCTCCGGCCCACAGACAGGATGATGGGGTGCAGGGCGGCCAGCATGTAACCCTGGGTGTAGTAGGGCAACAGGGCCTGGGGCAGCTCAAAGAGGGAGGAGAGGCCCTGCACTGTGGGCCGGCTGCCTGGGCGGCGGGACAAACAGGAAGCATTACAAACTGCCTTTATTCTCCTGCATGACAGACACAATGCATTCACACAGACATTCAGACAGCGCTGCATCAATTCATTAAGGTTTTATATACAGTACTGCGAAAAGCCTTAGGCCGTCAAAGGAGATGTTTGAAGCTATTTACCCGAGTAGAGAGTAATAAGGGAGTATGTGCTCAGGTCAAAAAACGCAATTTAACATTAGAACATTAATCAATTTAATTTCTTTAAAAAAAAGTCAGTGGGGAGTTGATTGATATGATATGAGGTGAGCTGGTGGTCGAGTAAAATACATGGATGTGTTGGACAGTTGCTGGAAATACTGGGATGACCTTAGGAATGTTTTTGAAATGGCTGAACTGACACACTTTGACAGGCATAATATCGTAGTTACACATCAACATGAAGATAATTTTAACACCATTTTCTTAGATTATCTAAGTCTTTTGCACAGTACTGTATGTAATGTAATTTTATAATTAACTCCAGAATACACCACTGGTTAGTTAAAAGATGGATGGATGGATGGGCCTCAGCAAGTTAGGACTCCCATGGTCAGCAAACTGATGCCCTCATCCCTAATTACCCCAGGAGCATGAGGCACTGGGTGACCATGTGCTTTGACCCCAAAATTAGCTCTCAAATACACATGGGTCTGTGTATCTCATGGAGACTAGGATGGGATAAGCCAAAGAAATTTCCCCACAGGGATTAAATAAGAATCACTTTCTCATATGGGTTAAGACAGAGTTAAGTCTAGTTTCAAAGACTAATTGTGACACTACCTCTGGAGGGAGTAAACTATACCTACATAATCATTTGCCAAATGTCACATAGCTAGAAGCATAATGGGGATTAATGTCTCATGTCATAGAACAGAAAAAAATTAAATTATCCAGCAACACAATTAACACAAATCAACAAACACATTCTCACATCTGCTGCCATTATTGTTTATCTGAGCTCTGTTGGGCCCAGTCTCAGTCCTCACACACCCCAGCTTGTTAGAAGCCTGGTATGTTGTTTATTGTTTACGAGCTGCTCTTGAAGTCTTTACCAAAGTAATTATTCAAACAGTAAATCAGCATGGTGTGTCACCCAGAGTCTAATCTGCTGAACATACACGTCCAGAGGGTTGTGCGGCTGTACGGAATATGGGAGTTATTTCACATGTACTGTATATTATACGCTACAGATGAAAGATCAAACGTGACCAGCAACACAAAGAGATAAGTAGCAGCTTTGGCAGAATCTATTTTGGCGAGCGGTCGATACTTCACTCACAATTCTGTCAGGGACTTCTTCACCTCAAAAATCCCAAACACCCCCCAATACACACACACACACACACACACACACACACACACACACACACACACACTTTCTTACCCTACAATACGCGACTGTTTTAATGGACTGGGGTTCACACTGAAGTTTTGGCTGGCAGCCAGTCAGCTCAGATAACCATATGTACTCGCACATTCCTGCATATAGATATCCTTAAATCACACCACTGCACCACAAACTTCTGAAAGCAATATATTTTGTATTAGCGGCAACAAGAAAAGAACAATAGAAAGACTGTGAACCAAAATTTGCAGTTGCTCCATTTATTTATTTTTTTATCATCAGCCACAGAATGACAGCAGGAACAATTCAGGAAACCTGTCCAGACCTAAACACTCCATGTAAACACTCATATGTGATTTTATAAGGCTTACAGATCCTAGTGGTGAAGTTTATTTAAACACATACCAGAATGCACAAAGGCTGATCTGAATACTGTATTAAACAACTGCTGAAAAAACAAAAGGACAAAACATGATGATAATGATGATGATAGTCACAAACACACACACACACACCATGTCCTGCCTGTGTGTGACTATCCCATAACCCCGAATGCAGCGTCGCACCTGGTTTGACGGGAAGCCCATGAGCCCCTGGAGAGCTTCCCGTCCCCACAGTCAGCCTCCTATGTGACACAAATTGTGAGAAGCCGGTGCTTTTGTCCCTGTGCTTCTCCCCACGTTCAGCTGGCAAACACCCACCGCCATTCACCAATCACTAACCCCACAATCCCACACTTCTAACAAACTGCACACTGAACTCTCTGTTCCCTGAGAGAAAATAAAAAAGAAAGAAGATGAAGGAGGGATAAAGGAGGAGAGAGGAGAGGAAATGAAGGACAGGGAAGGCAGGGGTGAGAAAAATGCAGGAGCGAGATGCTGAATTCGAAAACAGACGGGAAAGACAACCAAATGTGGGAAGGTTATAAAGGAGATCAAGACACTTCTTGGTGAGATTTGACAGTAGTTGTCTTAAGACATCAAACCAGCTGATCTCAGCTCAAATCCACTTGAATAAATTTTAACTGGATACATCTGCAGTTTAAGTTGTTTTTCCATCTATAGACACAATGAATCCAGGATATAACAACATGGATGTTTCTTATTGGAAAACTCACATATTGGCAGATGCATTGCTTTGTCACAGCTTATCTTTGCAATAGTTAAGTTCAAAATGTTATATAAAAAATACATCAACTCAATGAACAAGTAACAAGGTGTGTTTTTTTTTTTAGCCAATAATGATTGCTGGTGACACGGAATTCACTTGAATCGCTGTGTGTGGAGGAAGCTGGTTCTGTGCACCTTCTTAAATTATACATCCGGTTTAACTTGATTATTAGGGGAACTTTTAATATCAGCAATGTAGAAATGCCTTCTGCCCACAGATACAGGATACAGGTGTCCTTATCCCTCAAGAAGGGCATTTGGATACTTATGATTACTGTGTAGAAGATAAATGATAATATCGAGACGTTCAATAGACAGACAGCGAGAGAGAGAGAGAGAGAGAGAGAGAGAGAGACGGCAGCAAATTAGCCACTTACATTTTTTAGCCTAAAGAAAAAACATGAAAGCGGGGGGTAACGATGTACTGATAAGCCACTGAACAGCCAGCGTTATAACTTGCCAACCGTACAAAACCGTCTAAGATAAATAAATAAATTTAGCACAAACATTAAAGACTCTTTTATGTGTAGGATGACTTAAAAACAGCAATGAAAACACGGAAAGCAAGGCTAAACCTGGAAAGCCACACGATGAATCTTCCTGTTACCTTGCTACGCGTGAAACCCACGCCTGTGTGCCCGGCAAAGGCCGTAATCCCCGGTCAGTCACCGTCAGACACCGACACCAGGTTACTTCTCTGTTATCGTCTGTTACCGAATATCGTCAAAATGCACAAGCCGACGTAATCACAGGTATGTGCATGTGCTTTATTTCTTGCAAGCACCCTCTACACATCTAATGTGACCAAATACACCGCCACTGCAATCACCAGAGACATACAGAAGGCAGTATAACTTTACGACTAAGTACTGAAAAGAAGAATCTGCCAGTCTCTATCGTGATGTGCTTCTCAATTCCACATCATTACATCATTACCTCTCTCTGCTTAATGCTACTTAGTTTGGGCAGCAGCATATATAAACAGTATATGTAAATAAAATCGGATACTTTGATAATCAGCAATTGTGCTTCAGCATTCATACAACTTGCATAAACTCAGATACTAAAAACTAAGGTTGCCAACTTTAGTCAGCTGGCTGGCATGAGATTTTCAATTCCAGACAATTCTGCACACGCAATTACATGTATGTAACAATCACTACCTCGTAAATAGTCCGTAGGGTTTGCAAACTACCCCATCGCTTCTGATGTAGCTAATTTTAGTTTTATAATGGAATAATATGGATTTGTTGTAAGATTTCTTGCGTGAGCGTTTGACCCTGAAAGCGAGTGCCACGCTTGATGCGTGAGAGCTGGCAACCCTGTAAGATGTAGTTTACATTCTTTGAATGAAACAGCTTGATTGTAAAGATAGGTGCACCTCCTTTCACATTTCATACCCCGGTCATACCCGGCTTCCTCTCCTCACCCTCCAGGCTGAAATCCAGCAGCACGTACTCATACGCCGTGTCAGTCTTGGTCTCCACCTGCGCTCTCTTCAGACTCGAGTAGATCTTCCCGGGGCTGCTGTCCTCCGGGTCCTCCAGCTTCCTCAGCCCGCACCCCATGCTCACTCACGGCAGGACCAGCGGACTCGGGCCGAAGCCAGAAGAAGCCGCTCCGTTAGTGGGACAAGCGCTCCATCCTGGAAGCAGGCTGTATAATCTTTAGCGCCAACACAATATAATAAAATTACTTCTTGTTCAAGTAAAGACTTCTGTTTTCTTGAGATAGGAAAAGTAGAACTTTTTCTGTTGGATGTTCGAATGGGAAAAACTTCGCTTTAAAAACTTCTCGTTGGTGTTAACTACTGACTTCACCAGGAATAAGATCTAATGAAAAGAATTAAGAAAATGCAGAAGAAGATACTAGCATGAAAGTCGCTGATGAAAGTTGGAGGCGAACCCAGTGGAGATCCTGGAGAAGGAGGAACTTGGGAGGAGAAGGGAAAGGGGAGGGGGCCGTGACTGGACTGCAAAAAGAAAGGGGAGTGGGGGGGGGGACGACTGTCTGCCACCCAGAAAGGGTGTTGAGTCAATGACCGAGCGCCGTGTAGAGTTTCTTTCCATGGAGGAAATGATCCTTGGGAGGAAACGGATGGGGTATGTGTGAGAAGGGAGGGGGGGAATGCGTTTATGAGAAATGTTACGGGGTTAATGGGTATGTCGGGGTCTGCAAAGGTAAATACTTTATCAAATGTTTTTAGACGTGTACAGTTTGTTTCAGTGCTAATATCTGGTTACAGGAATCCTAATGTTATGTTGTGATTTCCGTTTTTTATTTGAAGAGACGGAAAAGATCTTTTTTTTTCTGCTATTTACCGGTTGCAGAGCTTTAACTCCGTGTGGGTATTCTTTAATCAGCGTTAACAATACAGCCATGCACACTAGTTAGGCTCAGACAGCCATAGCGGAAGTGCATTTCCCTTCCATTCACAAAATCCGCGGTCTGCAGTGTCAGTATGGCCACTCTGAAAACTGTATCTGGATTCAGCACTAAAACGAGCTCTGTCATGAAAAATAATAAAGTAAACCTGGACCTACAGTTTGGACTATTGTTTTATTATACATATACTGGGATATTGTAATAAAACTTTATTCCGTGATGTCTCAGAAATTCCCGAAATTCACCATATTCTGACTTATATGCCCTAAAGTGTGGGTTTGTCCATGGTTATGTATATTTCAGCCCTGCCCCATTACATTCATAGAGCTTCGCATCATCTGCGAACAGAAACAGCAGAGAAGTTTCCATGAGGCTCTGTATTGATGCTCACCCTCAGTAAAGAAAATGGCATCAACTGAAACAGTAACTGGGTGTTTCGTGGAATGTTCAGCAGATGCTTATATCTAAGAAACTCACTTTTTAGAATGGTATGATTCAAATTACCAGTGATAGTCAGAATGTCGATTTTCCAGTCTTGTGATCTGATCAACAAGCAGCTGTTATGCAGTGAGATGAAATATTTATCCCATGCAGTGACAACAAGAGAAGAACATTGTATTGGAGAGTAAAGCTTCTCACAGCTCATGAGCGGAGAATAAAACATAATGGTTCGGTTTAATGTTGGGACAGAATTTGTGGCTGTAGAGAAGTACCTTTTGATGTGTCGTTGAGGTTTGCATCATGGTCATCCCTGAACACACGATGTCCAAGCAGCTCCTCTGAACAGCTGGAGTTGGAGATGTTCAGCCACATTTCAGTGGGTGAAAACGGCAACGCAAGAAATCAGTCTGTTTGTCATGAGCAGAGGTTGCAGTTTGACTGTATCTCAGTGAATGAACATTTGGGGGATTAAGAAACTGAGGAGCTGAAGAAACATTCCAGACAGAGAGAACATTCGCACAGACAGCCTGGCTCTCATTAAAAACCATCCATATGTTTAAAGAAAGTATTATAGTTCAAACAAGTGCAACGGTTAAATATCTGGAAGCCACTACTTCAATATACATAGACTAATACAAAGGACAATGAAAGAAATTATTTAAAGATCAGACATTGTGTAGAGTTCTGTATCTGTTTGCTACTCCGCTAACAATTTTTAATTCTGGGAACGTTTATCGAACGTTATAATTAAGATATGGAAACGTTCAGTGTCCAGTGTTCCTGATGCTCCCAGAACATTTTCCCACTGCTACAGCTACTACTACAACTAAGAATAATGGGGGAGAAGCAGATTTAGGGCAGTGGGGGACACTGGCTTTGCGTTACAGTAAGAACGTTCTCTGCCAACTTTCAGAAGACCTTCACATAACGTTGGCTAAAGTTCTGGGAGTGCTCCCTGGTACCTGGGTAGAGGTCTTTGCTGTGGTCTTTTTAGGTTTTTACTCTTCGTTGGACACAGAAGAATGGTGATGGTCGGGCTGTAGTGTGTGTTTATAATCTGGAGCCTGTTAGTCCCTCTCTATGTAACGTATGCACAAGGCTTGACCCATTAAACTCTCCATCGGCTCTATTCAAGAGGGAAACCCAAAAGAAAGGAAGTGATTCTTGTTGCGTCCTAGATTTTGTCTTGCATTCGACCACTGTGATTTGCACCCAGATATAGTGCATAAGAGGTATTTAGCAGGAAGAGGGTGCGGCAGTGCATGATAACCCTATTAGCCAAATATGTCTACAGAAGATAACTGAATATTCACATATGACACAACAGCTGTCCAACATGAGGGAATGAGAGTTGATGGGGGAGGGCGGGGGGGAGGGTAGTGTCCAGGGCAAATGGAGCAGCTAATGTCCCGACACCAGCTGCAGCCACTTGTCTCAAATTAGTGGCAGGAGAGGGGAATTTTAATGCCCTATTTCCCTTAATGTAACACTGGCACCATTCCCCGTGAAACTGGTGAAACAAAAGACCATTGGTAACTATTCTGGAGTTGATTTGAACAAGACCATGTCATGCTTGGAAAGCATGAAAATGGGATGTTCCTGAAGGTTGATGAAGAAAAGTAAACGGATAATCTTACAGGCTGTGTGTTTGATTGTTTTCATTTGCTCATTCTTTCAGCATCCAAGGTTTGTTTAGAACCATGAGACTGACCACTTGGATGANCACCCCCACCCCCCATTCCAGAGAACAGGCTGTGATGTTGTGGGTCTTGTATCTCATCCTCGTTCTGTGTTCATGTCCTCTTTATATTTCAGGGGTTTCCTCCAGGTAATCCCCAAAAACTTGTGGTTTGATGAATTTATGTCTCAAAAGACATGAGAAAACCCCAGAAGATTGAACAATCTTACTGATTGCCTAATCTTGTTTAGCTATTCAACCTTATCTTCACCCCTCTCAACTCAGCTGTTGATAGCCATGTATATTACAGTCAGCACCACAGTCCTGTTACTGAATACTTGGGGGCAGCTTGGTGAAGAGAAATGTACTGACAAGCAGAAGGCATGGACCAGGTGGGTCGGCGTTGTTTGGGGTGACATGGGGTGACATTTTACTTGCATCAGTGTGCCTTGGTCTGTAGCTTGTTAATAAACTTCTACTTTTTAAACTTTTTAAACTTAATTGTTGCTATGACATGGAGTGTGATTCAGAAGAAATGTTTCTGATCACTTTTAAAATGAAGCTTCATGTTTCCCCTTTTTGACATTAGTGCCTTAACCCAAAATGTAAGCCTGAACTGCTCCGTGTATTTGGCTGCTTTGCTGTGACCCTCTGTAACTGAGCAGAAATCACAGCACAGACTTGTCTGGACAACTTCTATCACCAACCAGCTATGTGTGAACTACGGAATCACTCCCAGTGTGCCGCCCCTTTCACTCTCTCTTCGACCCACTGCCGCCTGGTATGAGGTTCTGCAGCCTCAAAGCCAGAGAGGTATGACTTGAAAACAACTTTCTCCCCCAGGGAATTTAACCACTGAACACTCTGTCCCCTCCCAGTCTATAGACTGGGTCCACAAATGTACTAATTTTTCATTTGGATTCATAAGACCTGTAACTAAAATAAATCTTATCTGTCTTTTGCATATGAAATTCTGTTTTTTTTACCATCTTTCCCACCTGACAAGTGTTTTATGGTATATTTTTGTCTTATGTACACGTCATTATAAGATTACAATAAACTTATTTTGACTTTGAAAAAAAAACCAGGGCGCTCATATTAATTCCTTGGTTTGAGATGTAAAAATAAATTCACGATTGTTTAGTGCCCTCTGGTGTTCAGTATGCGAACCGACAAACAGCCTGGAGTGGCCGTACAGGCTGGTGCCAAGCTGGAGTGATTATTGACAATGTATTATGCTTATGGTCCTAAACCCTCACCACAATATTCCTTCAATTTTGAAGTCACCTGGTGCCATCCGGCAGATAATATAATAATAAAGCAATAAACCAGACACGGTCATGTTTCCCATGAATGTTCCCCGTTAACAATACACACAAGTTTGAATTTAATGGTTTTTATATTGAATAATTATGTTTTTTAAAGTGTCAATTCTACAGTGACCTGTTCATGATAAGTGATTAGAATATGGATTATTATTACAACATTTTTTCCTTTGTGACATTTAGTGTTCATAGCGCCGTGATGTCCCTGGGTTTCGGGATGTTTAAATGGTTTTCGTTGCAGCCTGTCCGTCCAACCGCGCCGGTTTTTTTCAGCGTTTTTTGTCACTTATGGTCGGGGGTGGGGGGGCGGCGGGCAGAGGCACTTCCAGCGGACGATCTGCGGCTGCAGGTCCCACATCAGCATCACTTGGATTACTTCTGCCTAAGGATAGATACAGCTATTACAACCATTCAGCGGGTGCTGCTTTCATTTATAGAATAACCTGCGTTAAATTAGAGAATTTGTTAACACTGTTGTCGTTCTTTTTATTATTTCTAATGAAATAGTTAGCATAGGTTGAGATGAGTTAGTAGAGAGATGCGTGAAGCGCTACACCTCTCCTTGCAATAAAACATAATTAGCTACATGTGAATGTCTGTGACTGTCCCTGTGAATGACTGTGACTGTCCCTGTGAATGACTGTCGTCCTGCTCTCAGCCAGAAACTGCAGACGCACGGAGACAATTCGCGCAATCACTACCAGTCCAGCTTTATTGAAGTCCTCTTAACTATCGCTTTTTCGACGAGAAATAAAAAAATGACCAATTGGTGCTGATATTTAACACTAGTAAACAATTTGAATTAGTAACTGTAGTTAGCACTTGTCCAACGATTATGACGGAGCGGGACTCTTATAGGGACGCGTCCAGGGGGACCGGAGCGGACTTTGCGCCGGGAGGGATGTCGAGGGCAGGGAGGCGAAGCGGAGTCGCCTCGCTGGACCCGGAGTCCGGTTTTCCGGAGGGGATCAGAGCGACTCCTCGCAGGAGCAGCATAATAAAGGTAGGAGTTAGAAATCACGCAAACAACTACAAGAGGAATCCCGCAGGTAATACGTACCGAATTATTGTCTAGATCGACCAGACCAAGTGTTCATAATTGTACTTCGCACTAAAATACATAGTCATTATTTTGC